CGGCCCCTTCGCGCGCGCGCCCCCGCCGCCCGCCCGGCTTCCTTCCCAAAAAGCTCGCGGGGAAACGGTGCGGGCTTTCTTTCCCTTTTTTATCTGTAAAGAGTCTAAGATGCACCACAACTATAACACTTACAGAACTGAACACACACACACACACACACACACACGAAGCTGCTGTAACTTTCTTTTGAAAGTTTTAAAGAGTATAAAGTGCACGCTACACCCAAGAGAACTAACTCGTAAAGAACTTAATACGCATGCACAAAACTTTTTTTTAATTTTTTAAAAATACTAGGCAATGCACACAAATACAAAACCAACACATACAGAACTAAGCACACACGCACAAAGTTGTTATGACTTTAAAAAATTAGCACAAAATACACAAAAGCTAAAACATCAAGAACTGAAGACACATACAGAAAGCTGTTCTGACTTTCTAACTATTATACCACGATTGCATTTGTCGCTTCTCCACCCAGGAGGACCCCCTGTTTTGTCCGAGGGCTCCAGCTCCTTGGGTCATTCTGAAATCCAGATTCCGAAGATTCCCCAGTTTGGTGTCCTCTGCAAATCTGAGGAGCACCCCTTCTGTGCATCTCCGACTGATGTGTAAAGGCTGGCCATATTATTCATGCGGCTGACTAGGCTGAAGCCCAGGGGCCCATCCATAGACCAGGGGGGTCAAGATGTCAGTTGCAGTGGGGCAAAATGATGGATGTACCTGAAAGCCGAGGGCCCGGACCATGGGTTAATGTGACCCTCCCAGTAAGGGCACTCAGCAGCCCTGAACTCACTGCACGCTACCTTCTGCTTTGACTGAAAACTCCAGGGACCCTTCGGTGCTAACCGGCTACAAATTCACCCCACAGTAGCCTAGTCTCTACACTCCACATGTTACCACTTCGGCCCAAAGAGCACCACCAAGACTTGCTGAAATCAAGATATACTACGCTTAAAGCATTCCCCTGATCTACCAAACTTGTAACTCTGTTTGGAAAAGTCCGGTGGGACTTTTTAATCTCTTTTACTGAGAAAGCAGACTGATTTTAAAAGATCTGTTCTAAGACATTTCCTGGTATCTGTATTAAGCTGATGGGTTGGTACCTGCACGCGTCATCTCCTCCCCCCCTTAAAAAAAAGAAGATGGGAGCATCGGCTTGCTACCAGTTTTTAGGGGCCTCACAAGTCCTCCGATAATTCTCAAACATGGCCCTGAGATTATAAATTCCTTCCATACCCTTGGATGTAGCTTGTTTAAGATCACCTCTGTTGCTTCATCAAGTAGCTACAAAGTGGGCCCTTGATTTACGAACTTAATCCGAAAAGTTCGTAACACGAATCAGCATTTCCCATAGGAATGCATTGAAAATCATTTAATCCGTTCCGGCTGTTTTTGGTTCTTAAATTGAGGGGCGGTTCGCAAGTCGATTCATTAGTTCCCATAGGAACTAATGCAAAGCTGCTTAATCCATTCCTACCACTAAGGGCAGAATTTTTTTCTTCCCCCCTCCCCTTTTCCCCTTTTTTGGGGGGGGTTGGTTTGTAACTCGATTCCACGTTTGCAAATAGGGTCTATAGTTTCCTATGAGATCGGGTTTGTAACCCGAAACGTTTGCAACTAGGGCCATTTGCAAGTCGAGGGCCTGCTGTACCAGAGTTTCCTGTACCGTCCCTTTACCTGTCTTTGGCTATATCACCTTTTTTCAGTGAAGCCCTCGTCATTAAACTCATTGTTGGTTGGGGGATTGTCATCGGTGGAATGGGAAGGAACTGAAAAGGAAGCAGTGCTCAGAGCAATCGTGGCCGTTAACATGGCCACCTGGGAACCTCGCCTTGATGAACTCATTGACACATGGAGCATCCTTATCCCATCTTGGCAATAAACTGCACAGTGTAACCATACCCTGTATGAAGAAAGGCTTATTTTTATCTGTCTCATGTCTCCTGCCAGTCCGCTTCAGCAGGCTGTCGTGGTTAACCCTATGAAGTGATGAGCTGGCTGGGTAGCTCAGTGGTTTTAGGTCTATGGCTGCAGAGTCGGAGGTTGGATCTCAGGGAAAAAACTTCCTAATGGTTAGAGCAGTACGACGGCGGGGCCAGTGACCTCGGGAGTGGGTGAGCGCTCCAACCCTGGATGCATTCAAGAGAAACTTAGATCATCTCCTGGCAGATATGCTTTGGTGGTCTTCCTGCCTTGAGCAAGGGGGTTGGACTGGATGGCCTTGTAGGCCCCTTCCAACTTCACTTTTCTATGATCCCCCCCTTGTTCCTCCCAGGGAAAAGAGCCAGCCTGCATAGCTTTGAGCCAGCCCCTTGTTCCCCCCAGGGAAAAGAGCCAGCCTGCATAGCTTTCAGCCAGCTGCACAGTCCAAGAACACCCCCCCCCCCAGAAGAAGGGAAGGGAAAACTACCTAAAAATCCCTGAAAACATGGCATGTCAGGATGATGATGAATCGATTACCTCCTGTTACAAACAGCCCTGTCCAGTTCTTGCGAACTCAAAAGAAGGGTTCATTCTCTGGATGTTGGCTCTTCCTCTTTTTCTAGCTGCCTTGAACTTTTCTTAGCAGAATCCTCTTTTCCAGTACCCCCACTAACTTCTAGCATTACGAGAGATGGAGAGAGAAAAAGGCAAGCAGACCGATTTCTCCCTGTCAACTTCCTTTATATGATCCTATACTTTCTTTATACTGTAATAAAAGCCCCCTTGATGATGGCTGCCCTTCAACCTCACCCTGCTGGAAGCGAAAGTGTGAAGAACAAGCATTTTAAACATATGTGCCGCATCTGCTGTGATTGTTCCACAGCTCCGCAGTCACACCTGCCAGGTCAACAAACAAACTGTCGGCTCACCTTGCCCAGGTAGGTCCGTTCCAGCTGTCGATGACTCTCCAGGTATGTGGGCCTCTTACTTGCATTTTTTGGTTATGGGTGGAGAGACGCCAGCCTGATTTTAAGACTGGGGATTTATATTTGCAGAGCATTGCACGATCAGGCAGCTGAGAAAAAGACCATTTACACCTCATCAGGGACCACCAAGAGCCATTCGGACAACGACGAACGGCATTTCCAAGCTTGGAGTATTTCGTTGGCAAAGTTTGAAATACTGCACGGTAAAGAGACTCTGTGTCGTGCAGTGGGGATAGAGGCTTGGGTTCGAATCCCCACTCAGCCCTGGACACTCACAGGAAGGGTGGAAACCACACCTGTCACTCACCTTGAAAGCCTTCAGCCAGTTCCAACTTAAAGGCACATCACCACCAAGAAAGCAGTGGGAAATGTGAATGTGAAGTGGGTGTGCACGCACACACACAGAGTTATCAAGTCAGAACTGATTTGTTATGACCCGGGCTTCTGAGGTGAGAAAGCACCTCTTTTAGGGAAGGCTTTTAGGGAGGTGCCAATGAAGTCAGCCTCATCTCTTGCCATCGCTCGCCTCTCCAGGGCTCTGGTGGCGTCCAAGCGCACGGCTGGAGTCTCGCACCTGCAACAAGTAAACCAAACAGGTGAGAATAGCCGTCTTCCAGCATCCTCTTCTCTTTGTTGTTGTTCAGTCGTTCAGTCGTGTCCGACTCTTCGTGACCCCCCACGGACCAGAGCACGCCAGGCCCTCCTGTCTTCCACGGCCTTTGGTCAAATTCACGTTGGTCGCTTCGATGACACATCACCCCAAACATCCGCTCTTTTGAGAAAGGAGCTGGCTCCATGCCTTCCTGGATCCGGCCCTTAAATTCCCCTTGCCCCAATTCTGGTGTTGCCAGTGGGCTTGGCTAGATGACCACAGGGTGACCCTTCTAGCGGTAGGATAGTTGGGTTTTGTGGTTTGATTCAAAGTAAAGGTGCCTGGAGCAGCTAAAAATCAACCATCTGCAGATATGCCCCCCTCCCCACCCATATAATTCATTCCCCTTCTAGGGTCTCCACCCAGCCTTTTCTAACCGCTATTCAAGGAAAGCCCGGGGTTGTCGAATGCCTGCTTTTTCTCTTCCACAGCCCATCTTTTGTGCCCTGCTGTGAGTAAAATAGCCTGTTTCATCTGTTCCCCATAATAGCTACTTATTACCTCTAAAGCAGGGCTGCTTTATACACACACACACACACACACACACACACACTGTCATGTAGAACAGCACAGCATCCTAGGAAGCAACCCTGGCATGGCGTGGGATGGCAGCCATGGGAGGTGGGGGTGGAGGGATGAGAGAGAGAGGAAGGACTGTTCATGCATTCAAACCAAAAGCGGCAGGCCACTCACACACACACACACACACACACTGTCATGTAGAAACAAACAGCATCCTAGGAAGCAACCCTGGCATGGCGTGGGATGGCAGCCATGGGAGGTGGGGGTGGAGGGATGAGAGAGAGAGGAAGGACTGTTCATGCATTCAAACCAAAAGCGATTATGCAGGCCACTCGTTACAGCTGCCCTTTACAGGAGGGGAGGGTCCCGTCTGACACATGGGTTTTATAGTGCCACTGTGACATGCCACACTTTTCATAGTAATGGAAGCCCTGTGGGGAAAGGCTGAAAGAAGTTGGCATGTTTAGCCTTGAGGAACAAAGACGGAGGGGAGATCGGATAGCTGTTTTCAAATACTTGAAAGGCTGTCGAAGAGGGGCACAATCTGTTCTCCATCCTCCCAGAGAGCTGGACACAATACTTGAAAGGCTGTCGAAGAGGGGCACGATCTGTTCTCGATCCTCGCAGAGTGCAGGACACGCAACCATGGACTGAAGTTGAAGCCAGATTTAGGCTGTGTATCAGGAAAAACGTCCTTTTAGAGCAGTATGACAGTGGAACCCATTACTTCGGGATGTGGTGAGGGCTCCAGCGCTGGACACATCCAAGATAAAATTAGCAAGCCGTCAGTCAGATTTAATTTCATTTGGATTCCTGCCTCGAGCAGGGCGTTGGGTTTGATGGCCTTATAGACTCCTTCCAACTCAATTATTCTATGGAAGATGAGACAGAATTCGATCTCTCAACCGTCCCCATTTTGAAAATATCCTGTTTTAGGAAGGCTGTACTATGTGCTTTGATATTCTTAATCTTAATCTCAGAACTGCACAGCTGAAAGGGATCTCTGTGTGTCATTGAGCCCAGCCCTGGAGGGTCTCTGGCTGTGGAGCCGGACGTTCGGAGTTCAATTCCCCCCACTGGGCCTCTTTCACAGTGACTGGACTGGATGATCCTGAGGGTCCCTCCTATCTCCGCAGTTCAATAGTAGTAGGAATCGCGATCAAGATATGATGCTGCCTGCCAACCCAGGCAGTTGTTTAAAGAGGATTTCGTTAGATTCACGGCAGAAATGGCTACCAAGGGCTATTAAGATGTCTGGCTCTCTATTGCTTCCACTATTACCCTTTTTGAGACCAGTTGCTAGGCAATGCAAGCAAGGGATGCTCTTGAACTCATGTCCCAGTTGCAGGCTTTCCCATCAGAAGACCAGTTTGGCCACTACAGGAGTAGCTCCCTCACTTAGACCGCTCTTGGGTCAGACACTTGTGCAACACACAATCGGTGCTTTTGCTCTGCTTTGCAAGTGTCTCCTGGGAATGACGGCTTCCCCAAACTGGTGGCACTTGGAAACATTTCTCTCTCTTTGAACTACCATTCCCCCCCCCATCAGCCTCCCCCAAGAGAATCACGGTCCTTGTGGGGGATTCTAGTCTGAAGAAGCCCCTTTCCCAGGTTCTGTGCACTAAATCCCCGGAAATCTATTTCAAGGAAGGGTAAAGAATGAAATGAACCAACATCCTGACCTGATGGCGTTTCCCATGTTTTTTTTTAATGAATTTTTTCATTAAAAACACAACATACAAGATAAGTAACAAAAGCATAGTCTTTTTAAAAAGACTATGCTTTTGTTACTTATCTTGTATGTCATGTTTATCGCTCTGAGTAGTTTGTTTTAACTGCTTGTAAAACTGCCCAGAATAGTGCTTTGGAACAAATGGGGCGCTAAATCAATCAATCAATCGTGTGTTTAGTCGTTTAGTCGTGTCCGACTCTTCGTGACCCCATGGACCAGAGCACGCCAGGCCCTCCTGTCTTCTACTGCCTCCCGGAGTTGTGTCAGGTTCATGTTGGTTGCTTCTCAGACACTGTCCAGCCATCTCATCCTCGGTCGTCCCCTTCTCCTCTTGCCATCACACCTTCCTAACATCAAGGTTTTTTCCAAGGACTCTTTTCTTCTCATGAGATGGCCAAAGTACTGGAGCCTCAGCTTCAGGATCTGTCCTTCAAGTGAGCATTCAGGGTTGATTTCCTTTAGAACTGATAGGTTTGTTCTCCTTGCAGTCCAGGGGATTCTCAAGAGCCTCCTCCAGCACCACAATTCAAAGGCATCAATTCTTCGGCGGTCTGCTTTCTTTATGGTCCAGCTCTCACTTACATACATCATGACAGGAAAAACCACAGCTTTGACTATTCGGACTTTTGTTGGCAAGGTGATGTCTCTGCTTTTCAAGATGCGGTCAAGATTTGTCATCGCTTTCCTCCCAAGAAGAAGGCGCCTTTTAATTTCAGGGCTGCTGACTCCATCTGCAGTGATCATGGAGC